TATATATATTATACTATATATGTATTATATGTGTGTGTTTGTGTACGTGTGTGTATATCTTTACCAATATCTCTTTCCTTCATACAGTTTCTCCCTCACTGACCTACCCCTATCCCCTTAGGTAAAAACCAAGTGCAAACGGCCTATTGTTTAATCTCCCACAGCATGGCGTGCTGGGCGTTGTGGCAGAGGTTGCCCCCACGGTACCAGCTCACCACCAAAGAAATGATGAGCGATGAGCTAGACTCTTGCCTCACCTCCCCGAGAACCCCACAGTCCCCCCGCACCTTGGACTCGCCACGGGTCAAGACACCAAACAGCCGACCAGACAGTTCACCCAGGAGGTCTCGCGTAAGTTCGGCTAGGGTGGAACCTCCAGGGAGTGCTAGTCGAGGTCATGCCACAATGTACTTTACTGTGACGTCACCGCGAGACGTGGAAGCAGAAACGAGCTGTAGCCCTCGGCCGGCGTTTCCAGTGAGGAAATCGTCTTTCGTAAACAGTTTCAAACAGCAGCAGAGGATCAACTCAGCCAGGCAGATGTTTCAGGACCCGTCCACTGCAACTCCAAAATCTTACACTCCGAAAATGCGGGCCCGCACCGCACCCTCTACATCAACCTCCCAGTTCCCGGTTACCCACTTAGCTAGTCATCACCACAACACTGAAATCTCGAAAAACGCAGTCGAAAACACAAGCAAGAATGGGACTTCGACTCAGGCCGAGACAAACCACGTGGACTCAACATCGTCTCCACGACGAAAAAGAAGTCCATCAAAGAGTGCTGGGACTCGATCACAACCCCAGGCCCCGCTATCCGTGAACACCATCGTGCCTTTTGAAACAACACCGAAACCGTTTTTAAAGAACCCTCTGTACCCAGACGTAAATGGAAGACGCTACGTCGTTCGTGGGTTGAATAACGCCACGATGTTCATCGACAACGATAAAGTTGTTGTTATCAAAAACAACAAACCGAACCAAGAAAATTTCGACGAAAGTACGAGTTACATTGCGCACTTACGCAAATTGTATTTGCAGGAACCCCGTGACATTGCAAAGCTTTCAAAACCCCCCACAGAGAAAGAGCTGAATAAATCAAAGCTGATACGTGAACGCCTCGAGTACGAGAAGCGAACTGACCATATACTGAACTATTATAGCCGTGAGAACGACGCAAGGGAATTCAGTGATGGCAACAGTAGGGGACGACCACAACCCAGCTCCCGACAAATCCACACATCCACAACGCCTAGATCTGCTCGTGCGTTTAGCAGTCGAGACCGAAGGCAGACATTTTCTTCCTCAGCCAGATCCCCCACCAGGTCCCGCCCTCAGTCGGCCAGAGTGAACACATCCCCTCGTCGAGCACCCCCATACCAGCACGCCTGGCAACACCCCGAGCCGCAACACTACGGCAGCAAACGGGATGCTCTAGCAGACTGGAACGTTTTCCTGAAGATAAATTCTCGCTCTACTCTCCACGAACGCCAGTTTTACTTACAGACACCAGGTTCTCCTCACCAGGAGGCCAAACCAGCGTCCCCTGACTGCTCGTGCCAGCTGTGCAGGCTGGAGCTGGAGATGGCGTTGATGCAAGGCCGTGAAGGTCACGGAGCATTTCTGTCCCCGCCACACAGCACGACACAAACTCAAACACCCTGCACTGTAGAACGACAGGGCGACGACTTGCCGCGTTCAGGAAAGAATTATTCCTCTCGGATAGCACCGTTACCTGGACAGCAACATGCGCACTCGGATGTAACTCAGCCTGGGATCCAACGAGACGAGAATGAACCTCACAGTCATATTCTTAGCCTGTCGAGCAGCCAGAATCCGAGTAGAGAAAGCTCAAAACTGAAAGAAACAGAGAGAAGCCGTGCACTAAATACAAATCCAGTTGACGACCCACACAACAAACAGCTGACCCCAGGACCTGCTAGACAAAGCATGTCTCTGGTCATCCCATCGGAGGATATGGGGATCACACAAGAACAAATGACGCACGACTCAGAAAAAGAAGAGTCTCGGAGTTCTGAGCGAAATATAGAAAATGGTTCTCCTTCTCAGAATGACGTAGAAGAAAATCCCTCAGCCATCCCTGAGAACGAAGACGAATGCGTATCAGAAGTCACTGCCAAGGTACAAGGGACCCCGGACTGTGCTGAAAGGGCGGACATGAAAACTGAAACCTCCACTGAGGCTGAAGGAAGAGTGTTCTTTACGGTGAGCGAGTCATTTCGTGCTGGTGACGAGCGAGGCCAGGACTTGGATAATGTGCAGGGAATCATCACCTCCCCTACAGAGGGCATGCTTGACGACAATAACAACAATGATACACGCGCTTCCTTTGAGCCTATATCTATGTGAGCGTAGACTGCGTCACCACGTAACAGTTTCAATGTACCATTGCTATTACTCCTACAGTTAATTTCTGAATTGTCATTTCGTTGAGGGGACGCCAAACGACACAGTAATTGTCGTGCTGCTGCATTTTGTTTCTGGTGGTGATAGTGACGATGCTAATGATGATGAAAATAGAAAGGAGCAGGAGGTAGAGAGGAGGCGAGGTCTCTGTGGTTACTTCACTCGTATCGCATAATATACATAATATGATATTTTTTTCTACACAATTATTGTGTCATTTTGTTACCGTATCAGGACCCGTTTCCCTTCTATGACATGCTTATTGGTCCAAACGTTTGTTAGTATGAACATTTCATGTAGGCAGAGATTTCTTTGAAAACTGCCCACACTTGTTTAATATACCACTGACACAGTTGTCAAAAAGGAGCAACAGTCTTGTGATCAATTCAAAACAACGCCAGTGGAAGCTAAGAGACTGGAATGGTGGATATGGCTCTACAAATGAGTAATATAATATAGGTAATGGAATAAAACAAAGAAACAAAACTGCAATTTTCAGTTTCACTATCAACATCAGCAGCAGCAGCAGCAGCAGCAGCAGTATTTGAATCAACTATGAGTTTCCTGCATGGCAGCAAAGAGAGCTGACGAAAACTGAAATGATTGTATCTGTAAGAACCTCAACGTTTTGTTTGGGTTTTTTTTTTTTATTTGGAACTTTGAAATGACCTTGACTTGATGACACACCAACCCCTTTACAAAACCCTCTGGAGAAAAGAAAATTCAAGCGAAAATGCCATGTCATTTGTTCTTATTATATAAAGGATACAGCTCGATTCTTGAGACGAAAGGGCCCATCTACAAAGATAATTATGTCTTGCTGGTGCAATCTTTAGATTCAGACCCTTTAACAAATTAACAGAGCCTTTTCCCATGTCAGGCTGTCATTACAGACATTGTTTGCTTTGGCAAACCCAATTAGATTAATTAGCAGCTGTGGTTAGGGTGAATCCGCCATCAAGTAATTTAAGGAGCAAACGTTGAGAATCCTTGAACAACTGCCTTTCATGGTGAAGATGTTAAACATGTTCCCTTTGCCAACAAAATGAGGCTCTATTTTGGGGTTCATTTGGTTTTGGGGATTGTGTTGTAGTTTTCGTTTAAAAGTTTATTTGGTGGCAGAGAAAGGGAGTATGCAAGTAATGTCCAATTTTTAAAAGTGGAGAGGATCCAATAGGCAAGGAGCATGACTCCGTCATTTCGTTTACATTACTTTTATGTGAACTCTTACTTGAGTAGTTTCCCTTTGATTGGGTTTCTCCTTTTATCATTCAAACCCCGTCTAGGCTTCAAAGTAAGAGTCTTTTTCAAAACTCGGTGGAAATGTATTCTTTAAAACATTTTCCATTGGTTATAAGTATTCATAGCTCACAATCGTTTGCTTTAAGAGTGAAACCAGTTTCCATAGTTTCTCAATCTAACCCCCCACCCCACCAAAAAAGAAACAATCCATGATTATAAGATACATATATTTTTTGTACGTATTACTGGTTTGCTTGCCTTTCACAAAATCATTTAATACCAACTGGTGTCATAAGAAAAATGTAGAGTATGAACACAATCAATTCTTGTCCTTGTGCTACTTCATGGTGAAATCGGTGCTGTAGCCATACTCGTAACTAGCATCTACCTTGAAGGGGAAAAAATCAAATGAGTTAGTATTTAATGAAAGTCACGAGGGACACTCACTATTAAAAACAATCAGGAAAAGACAAATGCAGTTGTTGGGAAACCTGAATAGAAATAAAGGTCTTGAACATCTAGCTGTCACTGGCAAAACTGAAGGCAAACGAGGCAGGGGTAGGCCCAGAGCAACCTATTTAGAGAACCTAAACAGATGGGTAACAGGGAAAGATCAGGGTAACGTAGCTTTTTAAGGAGCATCTGAGCAAAGGAACGTCATGTAGAACCATGATCGACGATGTCTGCGCAAATCTGGTACTTGGTGATAGTGATGATGACCTCGAATTACAGCAGCAGCGGCGGCGGCAGTAGAACCAGACAGTTGTAGCAGTCATCGATCTCCACTGTCAGGGTGTTTCCATCAGTCTCCATGCTCCATATCAAGTATCGTCCTCAGTACAGGCCACAATGCCCTGTTTCAAGATGCATCTTACCAAAAAACAAGTGTTAACTTTGTGTTCTACAAAAGCATGGCTATCATTTAATACATTGTGTGTACATTTCATATCATATTGCACTGTAGCATCTGTCGTTTTCCTCGACTAAAAAGGGGACAGAGACACAATTATATTGTAAAGTTTGACAATTTCTTCCGTCGCTTAGTACAAACTGTTTCTAACCTAGTGAGCCTGCTACAATATTTTTCAGGGTTCTATAATTTTTGTTTTAGATCAAAGAAGAGTACGTGCAATTCTTTGAAAAGCCAATGCCAAACGATCTGGTGAAAAAAGAATTAGTGGAAATTCCTGTAGGGCCTACTTATAAATCAAACCGTCACATCACTAGAAAGCAGAAACAAAATGACATACGTTGAACTGGAAGGCTAAACTTTTAGTACAATATCGAACTTTCTGTGATTATTAACCATGGCTGGTCTATTCAAACCGCAAAAGCACCGCTAGCTAGTGATCAACCCACACGACCTAGCAAGTCACTTATTACATGCTCAAGGGACTGAAGTAGGCCTACATATAAACCGCTGGGAACTTGTCTTGTTCGTTACCCTCAGTGTGAGAATCCAGGTGCTAGTGAAGGCAACACTATATTTAAAACGAATAAATGAATAAATAGTTAGTGTTCATTGATTCGGAAATAAATATGAATATATAAGAATTAATAAAAGAGAGAAAGAAACAAAATACTAAATAAATAAATAAAAGCAAATAAATTAATTAATTAATAATTTGTGTCCGTATCACGTTCACATACAATGACTGGGTATTGTTAAGAGGCAGCGTGGAGCAGAGACAGACGAACATATCATTTCGGAAGTGGGTGTGTACCAAAACATAGAGGCGGGAGTAAATCCGTAGTAGCACGAACGGATGTAGCGCCCTTAGCAAGGGGAAGCCGCTGAGCTGGAAGAAAAAAATGCTCAAACCACATGCTAGAAAGAGAATTTTATACGTTTCTCTCTTTCCATAGTGATTTTTCCAAGACAAAGAGAAGGAAAGTCAGAACAACTCAATAGTAGAAAGGGAGATTGCCAAGCTCAGACTAAACAGACACATGTGGTTGGGGTGTGATTGGGTCAAAGGCATGGATTGAAGGGAAAGCTCTACGTTGCTCCCAGCTTCAGACTTCTCAGTTTGTTAAGCAATTTTTCGTTCTGTGAGAATTTGTTTTAATTGAATGCGCTTTGAGGCAATATAGGGAAAATGGGAATCTGATCATTTACATATTTGTATGAAATGGGAACAAAGGTAAGGGATTTGAATCCAAGATTTGAGGATGTGACAGAAAAGAGGCCCTATAAGTGCAAGAGGATGGATAAAGTAAAGAAAGTAAGTAAGTAAGACAGGAAAGAGGAAAAGGTGAAATTTGGTAATACAACGTCTCAGGGCAATTTTTTTCTCTTTTGGGGGGGGGGGGGGTTAAACATATATGTCAGCACATAAAGACGATTGTGGCTGATGGACATTCTCTAAGAACGAAAATACCATGAAAGGTTCTAGTACACTGACACGTGAATGGTTGATGCATTGAGGTAACGTAAGCCAGTAAGTCAAGTTTGAGTCGCATCTCGTCTGAAACAAATATATCTCTTCCCTGTCCAAGCTACTTCTTTTAACTGCAGGATTGGCAAAAGGGAAAGATTCTTGTTACATACTTTAGAATTAGTGTGAGTCAAGGTTTTTATAATTGTCTTCGTTTATGCATAATCTGTATCAGTCGATATCCTTTGTTCATTTTTAAAGGGATGGCTTTATTGCGTAAAATGATGCATAAAATTATGTTAACGCCATGATAGTTTCATACAAATGCTGTAGGCTTTTTCAAGCATGATGGAATTGAATGTTATACGTACAAACCATTTCTGTATAGTAGGTGTACTTCAAAGTCTTCAGAGCAGAACATACTAGTCAATGCTACTTGTACATTTTTTATCCAATAAACGATCCTACAAATAGAAAACATGATTAATTGTTGTTTGTCTTCGTTGTACGAGATGCCGATTTCTATGTATATCAGGTGATTGTCCAACTAATAGAATGATGATGGCGAGAAAGACCAAAAAAAGGAGATAGAAATGAAGAAGAAAGAAGAAGTCAGAAATAATAGTTGCCTTTGTGAACTGTTGATCGGTTACGTGTGCGTGCAGTCTTCAGTAGCCATTCTTCTTTTCAACTTCTTTACAAATAAAGGTATTTGGAACAAATTGACCAACTGTGGTTAGGTGAGAACTCGAAGCAGATGATAGGAAATGTGATTTGCACAAGCCCGGTCGCTTTGCTGAAGAATCACTTAATTAAATTGTTGTTGAAACCAGTTGTAGTCTATGCTTTTCAAACAGGCGTTAGCTATCTAGGATATGACAGGTATGGCATGTGCTCTGGGCACCATTTGTGTAAGGCGGTATTACTCAAACTCAACGTGATGTGGCGTCGGAAAAGAGGAAGGAGGGGGGAAGGTTGATGACCTATATATACGTGTGAATAGAGAGAGAAAAGTACAGTAGACATTGTCTTGACAGTAAAATGTCAATGCTTTGATA